GGGAGTGTAATGAGTCAATTGTCTACATAATCAACAGGATCCCTTCTACTGTTCTTGGAAACAAATCACCATTTGAACTACTGTACAAGAGGCAACCCTTTATTTCTCACATGAGAGTCATTGGTTATCTTTGCTTTGCCTCAACTCTGCCTAAGTGTGATAAGTTTCATCCCCGAGCAGTGAAATGTGTTCTACTTGGGTGTGGTGTAAATCAAAAGGAATATAGACTGCTGAACCTTGAGCACAATACTTTGTTTGTCAGCAGGGATGTGATTTTTTATTAAGATGCCTTTCTTGAGATTGCTACTCAAAGCATATCCTTTAATACTGACAGTCCAGCCAGGGCAGGAGATACTTTCTTACCTTGTTCTGTTCCTTCAGATGTACCTGCACCTATGGTGAACACTCTTCCCTTGCATTGTCTTGTTCCTTCTCCTGGATCTGTTTCTTTGACAGACACAATCAATTCTTCATCAGACACTGCATCCAACTACAGAAGGAGTTTTGCCTGTTACTGAATCTACTGTGCACATTGCACCACAGGACACTGTCAGGAAATCCCCTCGAGTATCTAAGCCACCTATATGGCTTAGTGATTATATGAGACCAGAAAAGCAAGGACAGTCCAACAATTGTATGTATCCTTTGTCTGATGTTATTAGATATGATCATATCTCCACCAAGTACCACAATTATCTTTCCCAATTTTCCAATGAGGTATAACCAACCACTTTTCATGAATCAGTAAAAGACAAACGTTGGGTTGAGGCTATTGTTTAACCCAAAAATAGATTTCTCGGTCAAAGTCAAAATCTAGAAGAAATCGGGTTACTGATAATCAAGATTTATATCACTTTCCCAATAATTTGAAGAATAAATCAAGGAATGGAAAAAATTGACAAAGAAACTAAGAAACAGATTGATAATCACTCCCCAAATTACGGTTTAGAACTTTGAGAATAAAATAAAGAATGATTGCATAAATTTTAATAAATATTCGATGATATTGTAAATGAGCATACAATTGTAACGATTTTCTTACTTAATTCGGGCTCACTAATGGC